AACCAGAGTTTCTCTGCTGATTTGGGCTGTACTCAGCAAGCGCAGTACAGCCCCAAACTCAGATTTGAAAAAAAATCAGCGGATGCCTGTTTTCTGACTGGTCGGCGGACCGCCAACCGGTAGGCCCTACCGATCGGCTGCAATACGGTCAGCGGTCGGCGGGGGTGCAACCCAGTTTTAAACGTCAATAAACCTGTGCTCGGATTTAAGACTCTCTGTGTCGTCTTCCTCAATTTCCTGTCTGTCTGTCTGCTGCCAATATCGTGTTTCACGACTGTTGTGTGTGGTTTCCAGATCACAGATGTGCTTTGCACTATGTATGTCCCATATGCGTCTATACAGACAACAACCAGCACAGCAGGTTACTACGTATGAGTGGTGTGTTCATGTGCTACACGTCATTTCGTACTTTAAATTTACGTTTTACTATTCATGTTACTTTTTCACTTAACTTGACTTACCGCCTATTCTCACCCCTCTTCGTCAATAATATCCTTATTTCAAGTTATATGTATCCTTATCTATTCTTTTACTACTACCGCCACGATGAATTGGGGAGGACCGAGGGTTTGCCATCACTGCCGACAGCCAGGGGATTTCGTCAGGGACTGTCAACTGCGACAGATCCCGAATGCCGCTGTGCTGCTAGGCAACACTGGTGGGGACCCTGGTCGAGGCTTGTCTTCACAAGAGAACAATGGAATTCTGCCAGCACCTGTGTAGAATGCTATTGTTCCATACCAGGCACCACAGAATAACGGTAACCAGAGTGGAGGCGGCCAGTATAACTACTACGGCGCCGGTCCCTACAACCGACAACCGGGAACAGAAGAAGAACGAGAAAGTCGACAAGATGTGGGGCTGGTTCGCAGACGAGATAGAAGCAAAGGAGAGTGAAACGAGAAAAGGAGAGAGCGGTGGAGGAAGAGGAGAAGAAAAAAGCTCAGGAAAAAAGGCTAAATCTCGGAGGAGCGACAAGACTTCGAAAAGAATGTTGGCAGTTTGGTAAAAGATAGTGTGAAAGAGTTCTGCGAGGAGGTTCTGAACAAGAAGGCATCCTCAAGTGGACGGGCGGTGGCCAGTGTGAGTGATGAGTTGCATAGACGAGACCAAGAGCATAGATGGCGAACAGAAGATGCGGCTGCTTGCGAAGAGATCGAGAAGAGGAAGAATGCTGAACTTGCAAGGCTCCAGGAACAAACAAGAAAATGAAGCGCCTCGCCCTAGAAAGGGCTATGGGAGAGTTGGCATCTCTCAAACAAGACAACCAAGCGCTAATCCACAATATGTTACTTCTGCCGGAAGAGGTAGAATGCCTCAAACGAGGATGCAACAGGGGAGCCGAGACGGTGACAGAGACGATTCCACCAGCGGAACCGGCTCATTTTAAGGCAAAGGTGCAATCAGACTCGACTCTGGACTTGCTCACAACACGCACACGTGAGAACCCATGGCAAAACCGAACTCTTCCAACTCAGAAACAACATGAACTTATATTGAACTCAGTCTGAATCAACTGTACAACTTGCGGCTATGGCCGCCGAACACTGTTTCTACCATCAGCCTCACTCTCTCTCACCCTCGCAAGCACGCACGTACGAGGATCACCCTGAATGTCCACGCTGCACAGACACACACACACTCTGTACACCCTGTCTGCACCAACAGCTGGGCGGCTATGGCCGCCGTCGTCTACTCCTCCTAGCTATGGCCACGGGTGTCTCTCTCTCTCTGGTTCGCTATGGGCGCTGTCTTCTTCACAGCCCACTTCTTCTCTGGGAACCCGCAGTTCTCCACGCACAAGATACCAAGGCAGCGCTTCCGCATGGCATCCGCAGGAATGAATGAATGTCTTGATTTATACTTTTGCGCTGCGTTGGTCTGCCCTGTGTCCCTTGGCCCCGGGTGCACACAGTCCCAGACGGCACTTGCTGGACAGGACCGGACTGCCTAACTGGGACTGTTGACTCAGCGAGGTGGCCTACCACCACTTGACCACTTGCCTCTATTCAATGCAGGTCCACTCCGAAAGGCCACTTCTAGAAACCTCTAACTTGGCCTTTCGGTACTGTAGCAGCTACGACTTTGCCCCTTCAGGWAAGTAGCAGCTACGACCTTGACCCTTCAGGMCTCCTACAACTACGACTTCGGAACTGTCTAGACTCCTACTCTACAGGTCTACAGTTCAATTCCCTTCTACCCTGTGACTTACGAAAACCTACCTACCACTGGCGGTCCTACAGGTCGCAGGTTCAAATCTACGGGTTGACACTGGTGAATAAGACGGGGAACTACGGATCGAGCCCTGGGATCTGCATTCGCTACTGCGAACTGGTGAATACCGTTTCACTCCCGCCGGCCTAAATTCGAGGTCCTCCGAGAAAATTTCAGTCCAAGGCAGGACCTTTACCTTTCTGTTTTCTCTCGTAGGCTCGGACTATATCAGGAGCGGTCTCTAGAAGTTCAGATCTTGTAAACCAGCGGTCGTCTTCGGGTTCTTGATAGCTAAAATGAACCTTGTACTGTTTCTGTGGACGACCCCTACCTCCAGTCCTGAAGACATCTTCAGCCACTATCCCATCAATGTCGTATCTTCCATCCATATCCGGTGGGATCATGGACCTACGGGATGGAAACTGATCACTTGTTTGACACGGTAACAACTTTGATGCATGGAAAACTGGATACGTGTGGAGGTGTGCTGGGAGTTCTATGGTATAGGACAGTCCATCTTCGCCGCCCTCGACTTCTAAGACTGGCCACGGTCCTCTATATGTGAGCAGTAACTTCTGCGAGATGTTCTCCTCAGGTGCAAATTCTTTAGAACTGACCCAGACTAAGTCGCCTACTTGGAACTGTTGAGGGGCTCTATCATCCTGTGCTGGGCCTTTCTGAGGTTCTCTACTACAGTAGCCAGTTCTTTCTCGTGTTGCACAGCAAACTCCCTGGTCCCGGGCGGCAATCTGTGAATCTGATCCCGGTTGAGCCCCTCAAACGACCTGCGCGGTCTAAAGGACTTGTCCAGTTCGTTGGGAGTGCGGCAGGTGGATAAATGCACGTTGTTATTATACGCACTAGCTACTTTAGGCAACATCTCGTCCCAGTTAATCTGATCTGGCCTAATGTACATGCGCGGAACTTGCTGTAGGATCTTGTTCATCTGCTCTGTCTGACCGTTAGTCTCTGGATGACGGCCTGACGACATCAACAACTTAGATCCATATACTCCCATGAGTTCTTGCCAGTTCTGGCTGGTAAAGCGACTATCTCTATCGCTAACTATTGACAGTGGGATTCCATTTTCACTCACCCAACAGTCAAAAAACCTCTGTATAACTAAGTCAGTACGTGCCTCTGACGACAAAGGAACAAAAACTGCATACTTACTAAAACGGTCGACTATGACCATGACTTGGCTCTTGCCATGCCTGCTCTTGACTTGAGTGTCCATGAAGTCTATGGACACTGAGTCTCCCGGTTGATCCGGAATGGGTAAGGGTCTGAGAAGACCTAGCGGGGCGCGCGTAGAACTCTTGTTACGCTGGCAGACTTTGCAACTGGGAACATACTCTACGCAGTCGTTCTTCATTCCTGGCCAGGTATACGCACACATTAGATTGGCTAACGTCTTTTGCCAACCAAAATGACCCTCTGTGTCGTGGCATTCTCCCAGAATCAGACTACGAATAAATTCGCTACGAGGAATGCAAAGGCGGTCGAATACATTAGTCTTCTCGAAGAGCAACCCTTCGGTAGTGCGGTAGTTTGGTTCAGTCTCTGGGGCCTCTTTGACTTTCTTAAGGAGGTCACTGTAGATAGGGTCCTGCGCGTAGGCTTCTCTAACCTTCTGCTGCAAATCCTTCCCTAAGTCTAGGTAATGCACTATTGACCCAAAGTAATCTGCCCACCTACTCGGAGCATCCGCGACTACGTTATACTTCCCTTTGACAGGCTTGAGCTCGAAGTCGTACTGATCTATCTCTGCGGCCCACCTAGTAAGCTTAGGTGTCATCTTGGCCTGCGTCTTTAACCATCGTAACCACAAATAAAAATAGAACAGCAATAGCTCCTACATAAACAACTAAAAAAATCATAGCAAAAAAATCAAGACCTAATAACACAAGTAAACCATAAGTATTACAAAATACTAAAATGAGAAATAAAATGGTCAGAATAGACTTTGAAGTGCCTCCCAAGCAAGTAGTGCTTCCAGTGGTCTAAGGATTGCTTGAGAGCGTAGAGTTCCCTCTCATAGGTAGATGTCGCGACCTTCTTTGAAGGCATCCTGGCGGACATGAACTCTACGGGTCTATACCCATTGCCATCGTCTTGCTGTAACACTGCGCCTATGCCGTATTGACTCGCATCGGTCGTGACGACAAAGGGCAAGGACGGATCGGCGACTTTAAGGACTGGATACTCTATCAATGTCTGCTTTAACTTCTTCATGGCAGTCGTGCAGTCCTTATCCCACTTCCAGATGGTCTCCTTTCTCAACAATCTGCGAAGGGGCGCAGCGATGGTCGAGAAGTTCCTCACGAACTTCCGGTAGTAATTAGCTAAGCCCAGGAACGAGCGCAACTCTGTCAGCGTACGTGGCGTGGGCCAATCTCTGATCGCTGCGATCTTGCTATCTTCTGGCTTAACGTCGTCTCCATCTAAGACGTGGCCTAAGTACAAAACTTGGGTTTTTGCCCAATCGCACTTCTTTGCATTGATCTTGAAGTTAACTTCCCTCAGCTTCTCCAAGACCTGCCTGAGATGATCCTAATGCTCTTCGAGGGTCCGGCTAAACACTAGAATGTCATCTAGGTAAACTACAACAAATTTGTCTAACCATGGCCTAAACAAATCGTTCATACAGCGCTGGAACGTAGCTGGTGCATTGGTTAGTCCAAAGGGCATCACTATAAACTCATAATGCCCGTACCTAGTCCGGAAGGCTGTCTTATACTGATCATCAGGATGTACCTCTATCTGATGATATCCGGACTTTAAGTCTATCTTAGAGAAATACTTCACCCCCTGCACTCGATCTAAGAGATCGTCTATCCTAGGCAGTGGCTCAACATTCTTTACTGTAATAGCATTCAGACCCCTATAGTCTATACACATCCTCAGCTCTCCCTCTTTCTTAGGAACAAAGAGAACAGGCGCTCCAAAAGGAGACGAACTGGGCCTAATCCAACCCTTCTCGAGGAGCTCGTCTAATTGCTTGCGAAGCTCCTCTAACTCCCGTGGGGACATCCTATACACGGCGCCCTTAGGAGTTCTACTGCCAGGCTCTATCTCAATGCGGTGCTAGATGGGCCGCGGTACCACTCCTATCGGCGGCTCAGTTAGATCTTTGAACTCTTCCAGCAGCTTGGCAATCGCAGGGTCCATCGGCTTTTCTTCCGTAGGCTCAATCGCAGGGTCCATCGGATTTTCTTCCGTAGGCGAACGCAAGAGCACTAAGGCAGCAATGTGCCAAGGGATTCTCTACTCCTGACACATGGAACAGGCGGGCAGTCTTAGCCTCGCCTGAAGAACTAGRGAGCCTACACTCCTGCTCCTTCAAATGGAGCGTGGCCCCGGCTGCCTCTCCCCAATCCATTCCCAAGACAATATCAAATGGGAGGCTGTCTTCTACAAGGAGAGTCAAAAAGTGGAGAACCTTCTCCACTGTCCCATCTTTCTCTAGGCAAAAATACGCCTGGACTCCCTCTACGTACTCCTCTACAACCATAGTATGATTGTCTGCGAGGATACTAACTATAGGGTTTGCTAACGTTTGGGCCCCTACTAATATAGCTGCGGGTGGCCCTTGAGTCTACTAGGGCCCCTAATCTGCCTCTAAAAATCTCTGTATCTACTAGTATAAGCTGCCCTTTATTCTCCTTTCTCATCTTGGCCCAGGCGGGCATCCTCTCCTTCAACTCTTCGGCCACGCCTGTGAGGGAGGTGTCTAGAGAGACTCTAACACAAACAGTCTTTGGACAGCCATCTAGACATCGGCCTGCAACCTCTGCCATAGGCACATGTGGTGTGGGAGTCTCCTGCCGGCTAGCGTTGTGTTCCCCACATGGCCTAATGGTAGGGGCAGTTGCTACCCCTACCGGCGGCTGCCGTTTGACCCTTGAGCAGCCGTTCGGGTCTCTCGATACTTAGGACAGTATTTGATGATGTGGCCCGGGTCACCGCAGAAAATGCACTGGCCCCGGTCCAATTGTTGTTGCCATAAAGCCTGGTCCAGACCCAAAGTTTCCCAAGGCTTACCCTGCAGTAGCCCTGGGTGCCAACCTCCTACCCTATAGGGAGACCTATTCCTATGACGGTTTTGCGGGGGACCTTGACCCCTTCCTCCCGCTTGGCGGTTTCCTCCCCTGCCGCCAGCCCCTGGCCGCCCTGAAACCGGCTCCCTGAGGCCCGGCCTCCTTGGCCTTGGCCTCGTCCTCCGCCTTGCGGCCTCCCTCCAACCGCGAGAGCAGCGTAAGTCCTCCCCTGGCCTACACCGCTGCCCTCCTCCTCTAACCCCCACTCAATCTGATCGTAGGGGATCTCATCCACACTACCTTCATCTAAAGTTAGGATAAGGCTATCCTTAGTTTTCACCTGCCCAGAGATAATGCGGCCCTTCCATTGCTTTCCCTTGTCCAAGTCTTTGTGCCAAAAGGTAGACACAGATGCAGACTTGGCTTCAAAGGCCACCACTTCATGACTGAGAGAATCATAAGTAGTGGCCGGATCTTCGCTCTTCGCGACGAAGTGCCCTCGCAAGGCTTCGGGGATAGCTCGGTAGAAGAGGCCGACCAATTGGGTGTCTGTGACCCCATGGTCAGGAACAACGATTAGTTTATCCATCGTGCTCTTGAGTGCCCTGGCACTCTTCCACTTATGAGCGTGGATTGTCTGGAGCCTATCTGAGGCCTTGACACTTCGAGTGACATCTGCAAATCGCTCGCGCAGCAGTCTCATGAACTCAGTGAGGGACGTAAATGCCGAATAGGTAACTGCATCATCATTGCAGTTAGCGGCGCGCACTAGGTACCTTGCAAAACTGGCGGCCTCATCTCTCAGCGCGTGGATCGCAATGAAGACATGCTGATTCGGGGAGACCTCTTGCAGATGCACATAGGTCTTGACATTGGCCTCCCAATTGTCAAAGTTCTCTTCCCTTTTCCCAGTATAGGAATCAGGGAATTTGACCTTGACTGACTCTCTAGGCGGCGGGCGTGGTTCCTCCTCCTTGGGAGCTGCCGCCTTGACGCCCTCAATGGCGCCAGCGCAAAACCGCTCAGTCTTGTCGAGGCGATGGCCAACCTCGGCTCCTACAGCGCCCACTAACTCACGAGCAAAGTCCCGAGATCCCAATCGTATCAAACGTACAGCTATATGCTGACTCCTACTGAAATCGTATTGCTTTGCTTGAATTCGGGCCAGGCGTGCAACATTTCGGGCTATAACTCGCATTTGGGCTGGGAGTTCGGTCTGGGCGGCTAATTGCTCCTCGATCCTTTTTACCTCCTCTAATTCTTCTGCCGCCTCCGCTGCCACGTCCACTCTCCTCTTCTTCTCCCTCATCACTGCCAATCTCCATTCCATCCTCTTCTCATCTTCCATCGCCTGCCGCTTTATCACATCTACTTCTGCGTCCCACGCTCTCATAGCGGCTTCCTGTTCATCCTTGGGGATATACATCGCCACCTCTTCTTCTTCGCCCAAAGATAAATTGGCGACCCACTCTCAGATCCGCTTCTCCATCTCCGCGTCTCTGCTGCCATTATATTGCACTCCCTTCCTTTGCAGCGGCGTTTCATCTTCTTCCTCTCCCATCTCTTTCAACTTCTGCTCTTCTTCCTTTTTCAATCTTTCCTTCTCCCTGGCCATCTCCTCCTCTATCTTTCTCAACTTTGCCGCCTACTCCTCCTGCAGGGCCTTCTTCTTGGCCTCCTTCTTCTCTTTTCTCTCCTGCAGGATGGCGGCCATCTTCGCCGCCTCCTCCTTTGTGTACGGCATAGTGGAGGTGCCGCCCCGGGTGTCTACCATGGTGGTGTTAGGTGCGCAACAAAGGTCCCACTCCTCACCACTTGGACCTACCCGGACACAAACCTACTGACTGACTTCCTAAGGACCACAGGATAAGATCCTGTCAACTATGGTCACTAACCCAAGACTACAGCCCATAACTCAGCCGTTCCGGCCTACTGTGCCACACCGAGCAGCCCGCCGATCTGTACCGGTGCTTGGAGGGGTTCGTATCCCTCGAGACAGTCGAGTCGTCAGACACAGATCATCAGCCTTACTGGGTCCAGTAGGGAAGTGGTTCAACCAGGCCTCAACACTTAAAGACGGCCTTCGTTTCAGCCTGCAGCCCGGAGTTCAGACCCTCTACACTGAACTCAGTAGACCTGCCCGACAGTACCGGTCATTGGGCTAGACGAGTTGTTTAACGAGTGCTCGCCGCTCATGCCCAGGTCTCCAGATGCCAGAGTAGAGCTTAGTCCTACTAAGTCCCGTGCAGGTTTGGCAGCAAGGCCCTATCCTTCATCCACAGAGTCCTAACACCTAGGACAAAAGAGACTCAACGTAGAAAGGAAAGACAGACAGACTCAACTCAACAAGTACCGTAGGGTGAGTGCACATCCACAGGGTAAGGGGATAGGCTAAGGGCTCAGCGAGATATCACCAGCTCCAGCTTGGTCAAAATCTTGGTCAGCAGCTCCGATCAACGCCTTGGTCAACGTCGAGTCAACGCGGGCAACCCCCAGTCAACGCTTGGTCAACACCCCCGGTCAACGCCTGAACAACTCTTGGTCAACCCTAGGGTCAACGCTCTGGTCAACGCCCGGTCAACCCTTCACCTCGGCTATGGCTGTCGGCACCATCACCTTCGTCACCCTCGCCGCTTACTTCCCCTTCCTTCACTCTTCTTCTTCTTCACTTTCTCTTTTTTTTTTTTTTGTTCACCCCCCTTGGTCAACACCTGGTCAACCCTCTAGTCAACG